GAGTTATAATCAGAAAGGTACATAGTTGTATAATAAATAGATGTAGTCCATGAACACTCAGACGCAGAATATAAATATCGAAGTCCCTCCTAAGCTTTAGACATCATCAAGTAACAGAGAAGAGAACTTAACAATATAATATTATTTACAATTCTATTTTACTTTAACAAATTTACTTCACTCTTAGTAGTCATAAATAAAAAGAGTAAACTCGAACCTTCCTAGACAATCTCCATCTACAGAAACGAATTTCGATTGGCCTAGACAAATCTGAAGTCTATCAGATTGTCACCGTCTAACAGTTCGTCACTTGGTTGTCTCTTACATTGATAACGAGATCATCATGGAGACAGCGAAGTCATATAACACTATCCCATATCATACAGGAAAGATATTTGCAGACTGTGATTGCATAGCCAAGTCTAGCGGAATGGAGTTTAGTGCCCTCAAGATCCAGTGAATTAGGTTTAGAGATAGGGCATGGGAAGGAATCGAGTTGTTAGGAGAGATGGCTTTCCCTTCTGAGGATTTAGGGGTTCTTAGATATAGGTTTAATGTATTTCTTAATTTTTCTTCTCATATAAAGTATTGGTTGGAAAGGGGGCTGGGTGCTAGGAGGAGAATTTTGGCATTAGAAAGAAGGTTTAAAAGTACTGGAGGATTGGAAGTGAAGGAGACTTACAACTTAATACAGGCAGCCTATCTCCTGACTGTCTACTATGGACTTGAGTTTGTAACCAACCACAGGTCGTATGTGAAACAGATTCTAGTCCACGTCAACGATTGCCTCCATTTAGTGTTTTGAACTCCTAAGAAGCTGGCAAACAACATATTTTTAGCCGAGTTCAGAATGCCACCTGATGTCATACAGGGCAGGTACCTACAGTAGAGGTATTACAGTCAGCTCATCAACTACCAATACTGCGACAAATTTGCTTAGTTTGAAATGATACAGCTAAACTGGAAGGAAGAAGGTATGGTGGCACAATGACAAACCTCTGATCGGGAACTTACCTACTACCCTTCAGTTTCAATTAGGAAGGGCAAGGCGAGGATAGCTATGGGCCGCTGTTTGCTGTACATGGACCTCTGTCTATCCTTGGATGTAGTCATATACACAGACGGATGGAAGTCCTTTAAAGGAGCCGGTGTAGCATAGACGGTATTTGAGAAAGGGGCCTTGACCTGTGTTGACAGTGCTCAGTCCCCCCATTATGGAGCATTGTTGAATACAAGCTATTTGCAGTTGTCTCGACTCTCCAATATGCCCAAGGTATATCTAAGAGGCGTCTGGTTTATCAGTTCTTAGACTGTATTCTGATGTTCATCCTGGTAGATAATATGTTTTCAGAAGGTGACTCAGCTGAGTTGTATGAGGTCATAGCGCCACTGTTAAATACCTTCTCTCACATCAGTCTCAGTTGGGTCCCCGGTCACATGGGCGTCAACGACAATGAGATGGTCAACCTTAAATCTAAAGCCTGTTTTGGACAACCATTGCTTCCTCTGCTTTGGAAGGAGGTCAGCTTCAGGATCAGACATGCAGCGCTAACTCAGGAGATATGGAAGAAGAAATGGAGATCCTGGCATGATCAGGAGAGATATGAATACTATGCTCGTGAGCTTAAGGCATCCTGACACCTCCACAGCTTCACCCGTATGAATGCTTATGTTTTGTTAAGGATTCGCAGTGGCAAGCGGCTTGGTCAGCCATGACAGCTGTAATGGGAAAGAAGATAGACACTACCAGACTGACTACCCCTGATATGTTAGAAGGCGTCTCGCTAATGAAGACCTATTTCAGGATTTAGCAGTCTCGAGATGGGAATCTTGGTAGGTAGGTCATAGGTAGTTAGGGGTGAGAATTCCTTATCATGTTAAGGCGGTGGATGGGGAATTGGTCATAGCAGGTAATCTCTTTACTAATGCACTGATGGTGGAAAGGGATGGCCGGTTGGCCATAGTAGGAGATCCAACTACTTGCACCCGGTGCAAGAGGAAATATAATGGTAGCAGGTGTCTTTTACCAGGAGCGGTAAGCTTACCAAAGAAGTGGTTCTTCTTGCCCAACTAACCGCAATATGACCGCTTGTATTACGGTACTGCCATTTCTGCCACAGCTACTCAGAAGTACACAACCTTCACGTAACATTTTAAAAAATAGCCTCAGTATCTCCAGGTGTACCACAATCAGTTTTGGTACTCCCAGCATCAGTAATAGGATAAGTTAGATCTTGCAACGCAAATGTCAGTAGTATTAAGTTGAGCGAAGGTAAAAGAGATATTAAAGGTACCCGGTTGCCCCTTTTGTGGTTTGATTTTGGCCCGGGGATACCTTGAGTTGAGTTTGCATTAAAAGAAGATTGAGGGATATTGGGATAAACTGTAGGTTTTCTTTGTTGAATATGTAGGACAAATTGTGTTGGAGGCGGATAGAGATAAGGGTATGAGATGGTGGTTGGGTAGTGAGGTGGAAAAATACATAAATCCAGGATAGCACTAGTAGCTGCGAGCATCCATGAGCCCACGTAGGGTATTGATTTTTAGATTTATGTTTGAGAGGGGCAGTTGCGAGATGGAATAAGTCCGCAGTAGTGTATTTTAGTTAGTTTGTTTTTATAATGGCACAGGGGCGACTAGTCGTATGCCAGTGTTGGTGATACTAGTATAAATAAAATTAAATTAAATTCTAAGTACTTTTCCTACTTATTACTTAACGAATATAAAACACCTTTATGCTCTTTATTATTATCACAACCTTTATCACTATTACAACAAGAAAACTCTTCATGAAGTGGAGTAAGAAAAAACTTATGATATGCATTACAGATAAAAGATAATGGTCTTGCACTATCCATAACATAGGCATAGGCCTAGTGCTATTATATAGCGAAGAAGAAGAAGAAGAGAAGTATTGCTCCCTGTCGCTAAGAACTAACTATCTGAAGGGGGATTGTTACAGCTCCTGTCCTTATAGTGCTTCCACTACTGTCTTTACCTTCACCTTCAACTTTGCTTTCATCCTCAGCCCACCCTTGAACATTTTCATTATTATCTAATTCTATTTACTCTTCAGATTCATCCAGGCCAGGCTTCCTATTCACACGGAGAAACAGGTAATAGATCTGGCTGATGGAAATTGAAAATCGCTAGACTCAGGTATTCTCAATACTGGTCTGCCATTTGTAACCCAACTTATATTAGCTTTTAACTTTCTCTAATATCTCACATCAATACTATACTACTTACTGTATAGGTAAAGGAGGATATTCTGGGCACTAGTGGCTGGTAGGCGGTATTCATTGGCTGGCAGTTGTGTTAAGCGGTTGATGATGATGATCACCAGTCAACTAAGTTTTGTGAAGGTTTTCTGTACCAACGGCCACTTTCTCTTGGCACTACTAGTAACTATCCTTCCTTCCGTGGTCTAGTGCATCTCTAGTTCCCTCAAGTCCCTCACTAGCTCGCGTCTATGAATACGAACGAAGGGATACTAGGTATCGGCATTGGGAAAGAGTTGTTTCTCTACTCTTGGTTTTCCTCCCTTTGTTCGTGAAAAAGCCTTGAGTAGGCCAAACACCAGTATTTCCACAAAACCCTGTTGTCTGTTGGCGTCAGGAACCGAGTTCTTTTTATTCAGTGACATGCCAAAATAGGTGCTGGTATCATACTCTGTTCGCTATTTGACGCTTCGATATGTTATGATAGGAACTATTATGTGATGGGTTGGGACTTCACGTGGCTGGTAAGGGCATTGAGGACCCTGAGCTTCAGACTTAACTTAGAGTAAGAACTTTGCAGATTATGTTACATATATATATGTCAAGACTCCCCATGACACCTATTTCCCCATACTACATAAACATACATCATGATCACCAAATTACATGTTCCCTTCTCTACAGGTGAAAACAGAAAGATTACAAAGAATAAGCCCCCGCCTCAAGAGAAAGCCCCGCGGTGCCCTTTGCTCAACCCTAGTCCAATATCTTAGTCGATTACAAGGAATAGGAAGAAAAGGGTTTAGAAAACAGAAAAAATAAGAGGAGAGGTCGCCCTTTGGCCAGGGTCTAGAAACAGGAAATGCAACTCTGGCCTTTACATGATGATAGCGGGTACTACAGGCTTAGAATTAGCAAGAATCCACACATTATTGGTAGGGAGGACATACCGTCAATGTTAACCTTGATGGTCTTGTGTGGCAGCACACATCCTCCGTTAACATAGACTTCATCAGAAATAGTCACATCGTCACCCAATACAGTGACATTCTCTAGCCTTGCCCACTTTCCGACTGTACTGTTCCAGCCAACGATAGTGCTCTTGACCCATGCATGATCCTTGATTCTTGATCCTTGGAGGAGAACAGATCTCTGAACTCTGACACCGTCGCCAATGACGACGTTCGGCCCAATAGTAACGTTAGGGCCAATGCGGCAGTTCTTTCCAATCGTTGCGGTGGAGTCGATCAAGACGTTTCCACCATATACAAAAGGCTCGGAAGAAGGAGTTAGCAACTTCGAGTTCTTCTTGGCCAGTGACGACAGGTAGAGGCAGGTTCCGGTGAGGAAATCCTTTGGCTGCCCGACATCCATCCAGAAACCTTCCAAATCGAAGGAGTGTAGCTCTCCATCCCTGACAATGGCAGGGAAAGTTTCCTGCTCGATTGATGTAGGGCGGAGCTCAATCCTGCTCAGGACCGAGGGGTTCAGGATGTAGATGCCGGCATTGATTCTGTTCCCGACAAACTCAACGGGCTTCTCTACGAACCGGTCGATGCGTGAGTAGTGGCCTGGCTTGTGAACGACGACACCATATTTCGAGGGCTCCTCTACCTTGGTGACCACGATCGTTCCCTCCTGGCCATGTGATTTGTGGAATGCAGCAAGGTCTTTGAACGGGTAATCGCAGATAACATCCGAGTTTAGAACAAAGAACGGCTCCTGGTTCTTACCCAAAATATCCTCCGCAAGTTTAAGTGGGCCGGCAGTCCCCAGAGGCTCGGACTCGATAGAAAAGGTGATTGTGACACCGTATTGCTCTTCGTACTATTATAGGCGAAGAGCTTAACCACCGCTCCGGTCTCCGAGGAAAGATCATCGTCTTACCTTCTTGAGAACACTGATCATAACATCAGGTCTGTAATTGACAGCAAGAACAATATCGGTAACACCAGCGGCGGCCAGAGACTCAACTTGATGAAGAATCATGGGTTTGTTGCCAAATTCCACAAGAGGTTTGGGAAGGGTCAACGTCTAGATGACAGAGAATATGCGTGGTCAGCTAGAAATCCTCTCAAGCATCAATTCTTCATCCAACATCAATCCACTCTATAAACCGCATAATGTACGAGGAAGAGAGCGATTTCCGAACCGAAAGCTTGATTGAAAAGCCAAGTGGAGAAGAGGTCATTCATACAAGAGGTCTTAGACGAGTACCGAAACCACCGACGAGAATGAGGGCTAGAGGGCAAAAGTGTCAGTAATCCTGTTAGTAAGTTGGGCCAGATAATTTAAACAATCGTACCTTTCATCTTGAAATTGAATGGCGAAGAGTTTCTTTTGATAGAAGTATTACAAGAGTTTAAAGTCGAAAGGTTAAACGAGTGAACTGAATGCGTCGATTAAAGAGGAGGTGGGTGAAGAAGGGTGGCTTGAGGAATGTAGGCTCAAAGAAAGGAGAAGGTCAGGTTGGGGGGGGGGGGGTTGGAAGGTTAAAAAGGAGAAATAACCAATCTTCTACCTCACACCAAAACATCGAGAGAGAAATGAGCAACGAGAGTAAAAAAGGAAAGAAGAGGACCACCAGACGGGGAAGAAGAGGTCAGCCCGCAAGGGCGTGACAGGGAGTATCGTAGAAAAAGGAACTGACAACCGCGGAGCGCCAAACGATTGGCAAAATGCATGAAATCTCAATCCACCATTCCGCAACCCATGGTGTGACCACCAAAAAGAGGAGAGGTGGCGCCCTAATTTCGGGGCTCCGTGAGGGTCCACTGCTGGGAGCCGGGATGGAAAGGGTTAAATTTACGGTGGGTTCCTTTCTTCACCCAACTTCCTTGGGAAGTATGATACCCGTGCATGCGAAATCCCACCTCCTTGTTCGGGTACCGGTACTCGTACTCGAATACTCTACCGTTATTGAAACCGTCCTCCTCCTCCCTTCAATGGGGCTCAACGGTTCACCCAGGGTGAATAATCCGCTTCGTTGTTCCACCATCGAATCCTTATTGGCGAGAGAGGTTTTTCCTTTTTCCTTTTTCTGCCCTTCGAGATTCTTGAACCATCTTGTGACCTTCTCTTTGTGGTGGGTTGTGAGATTCTGGAAACATCAGCTCCGTTCGGTTGTTTGCCCCCCCCTGATACCGGTATCCTACGGCGCTAGGGGTTACCGCCGGGATATTACTTATATGTATCGTGACTAAGTGGTATTATTCACCTGCTTCCTGGCCTGACAACAATGCGAGCAATTTGCTGACTGGACTTGAAGCATTGAACTTGGGGGCGTCTGCGGATTCCCCTTTTACTCGAGTACTGAGAGATACTAGATCCCTTCTCATTACCGGTATTATTACTATGCGCAATCTCTGCTCAATATCGTACGGTACTACGATTGTATGATACCTGTAATGTCACTTGTCCCGAGCAATGGTACTCATAGCGGTCCCCGAAAGTAGGGGGATAGTTTGTGCAGGTATCGGCGCTCAGATATGCACAGATTTCTCGCCGTATTAATATATTTCTTTAATCCCTATTTCGGGCATGATATTTCTCTGCCTGGGACTGGGACAGGCAGTAACGATCTTGGTGCCCGCCGTGGGTATAGTGCTCGTAGAGTAGAGTAGAGTACGAGTACAGTGGTGTCTGAAAAGTCTACGTACCCCTCATGGCAACGCCGCAACCAACCATCGATTACCTCAACACCACCACCCCCTACCATGGCACCACCACATTCTCAAAACCCTAGAGAAGACCAGAAAAGGGAAATCTATGCCCTATATAAACATACTGATATGGGGTATGGTAAAATTTCAAAGCTTATGAATCTCTCCAAGTCAACTGTTTCAACAGTAGTCAAAAATTTGAAATCCAGAGATGGAAACACCCTTAATACCCCCAGATCTGGCAGACCAACAAGATTACTGATATCAAAAGGCAAGTAATTCTTGATATTATCGATGCTGAGCCTCATTTAGCACTAAGAGACATTACCCACAAAGCCAATATTGGTCTTGGAAAAGATACTATTAGTAAGATATCCAAAGAAGCTGGTTTTAAGCTTAGGATACCTAGGAAAAAGCCTTTTTGGAGAAAAGGACGGAAGGAGAAGAGAAAGGAGTTTGCTAGGGTCAGGAGGAACTGGACAAGCACTTGGAAATAGGTTATTTTTGTGAATGAGGCCATAATTGAATATGATCCAAATCCTGTAGGAAGGAAGGTCAGACTTAGACCAGGTGAAGAGTTGGAAGAAAAGAACTTAAAGCCTAGCTTTAACTCAGAACACACCAATATAGGTGTATGTGCTGCAATGATATATAGAGGGAGGACTGAACTGATTCCAGTAAGAAAGAGGAGTGAGGAGTAAAGGACCAGCAAGAGAGACGGGCTTGGTCTCAATGCCCACCAATATGCAACTGAGATCTACCAGCCATACCTTATCCCCTTCATAGAAGAGATAAATAGGGCTACTGAAACTATCTATATGGCTGCTGATAATGCATATGGTACAATAGAGCAGAAAACAAAAAATTACAGGAGGACTGTAGATATCAGAGATTGGCTTGGCCTCTCAACTCACCAGATCTCAATCCTATTGAGAATGCCTGAGCAATTCTCAAAAAGCCATCAGGAAGCGATTCTCCAAGGTTGAAAGAAGGTCCCATAGTGCTGCTAAGTAATTTCAGGCAGAAAAGGAAGAGTGGGACCTTATTCCTCAAGGAACATTTGATAGGTAGATTCAGACAATGCCTGAGAGAATTCAGGTTATATTGGATGCAGATAGAAGCCATACAAAATAGTAGCATTAGGAAACTGTTATATTCTATTTCTACTTTCATCTATTTTACAATTGTACTCATATGATTTTTTTGGTATAATTAATATCATTATTTGAAGTAGTAGTGCCGTTGCCCTAAGGAGTACATAGACTTTTCAGACATGACTGTACAAGTATTAGTACTGGTATTTGGCCTGGCACAGTTAGGAAATGGTGGCATTACAAGTAGCATTCAATATAATTTATTTATTCTTTTATCATGTATTGTCACCCAATTCAAACAGCTTAGATGTTACCTAACTAGAGTCCTTTTCTTTCACTTGCCATAATACTCAGAAAAAGTATTATGACTTTTGGGTGATAAATATTTGATGGGTTCATTATAAACTGCTATTCTCATCGTTCCTTCAATCCCTCCCTTTAGAGGTTTATTATCTCAATACTATAAAAACTGTAATAATTAAGTAGGGTGCTAAGAGGTCGAGTTAGAGTGAATGAGTTAGGACTAAGGAAAATTAATGTCTTGGATCTATTTTAGTATTCTGAGCAGAGTTATTTCAGCTCACTCAGATCTTTGTGTTAATGACATGTTATCGCCACTTTTGAAAGATATAAAGTAACAACAAAATTGAATGTAAAATACACAATTCTTTCTCATTTAAAATACATTGATACTCTGTTTCTATTTGATAGAATTAATATATACCAATCTTTCTCTTCAAAATAAGCACTATTATAAAATATCAACAAAATGATTTGAAAAGACAATGGCATATTTGGATACATCAAGGTCAAGCCAGTACTCCCTCACCTTTCAGAAAACAGGTTTTATGCTGGAGTTAGAAAGTGAAGAGAACTAAAAAGGAAACAACTTACTAAAACCCTCACAAATTATCAAAAGTACCCGATCAAGGGAAATTTATATCGGTCCTACACCATAAGCTACAAACTTTGAGTATTAGCTTTCTAGTATGGAAAAAATATACAATGTAGGCTAACAAAATTTAGAGAATCTACTCAAAGTGAGGTAGCAAAGTACTTCTGAATACCAATAGGGAATCTATCACATTGGAAGAAAGACAAAATAGAGGGGAAATATGCTGATATACGAATGAATCAGTGATATCTTGTAGGTGGATGGCACCGGTAATAGAGCAAAATGAAGAGATTACTCTGTCTTAAATTCTAAGAACGAAGACGAAGTGGAAGGCCAGTTTGAATAGGCTGGTTTCAGTGTATTAGTAAAGAGTTATTCACTAAAATATAACCAGAAAAGAATACTCAGCTTTTCAAGTTTTCAAATAGATGGTTTCGTGGATTCCTGCAGGTACATCAAATCAGCTTACAGTTCATTACCAATACTACTAGTAAGCTGCCTACCTATTTTTCAAATGTGATCCTAGAATGAATGAAATTCAACAGACTTAATTCACAACTACGACTGGACAATGAAATAGTATTAGGGGATATATCAAGTATTATTGGAAGATATAGATTACAAAATATGTGTAACATGGATCAAACTGCATTGCTCTTCAAGTGTCTTGAAGGGTAAACCAATAACCAAATCGGTAAGAAAATGATTTAGGCATAGTCAAGTAATCAGTCCAGGTAGGATAAGTGACAAGGAACGATACAGCTAACTGTATTCAGTGATAGAGTTCCTTGAGTAAAGCTACTTATATTTTGCCATAGATAAGGAGCTGGCCCAACTATCATCTTAGAGAAGATGTTATACAACAGTTGTGTGATTGTAAGGTTCAATCCCACAGCTTATGCCAACTCAAGTAATGTGCTTGAGTGGCTCGAGGAGTAGGTAATTCCTATACTTGATAATCAACCAACACTTCTCACAATGGACCTCTTCACTACCCACAAAACAGAAGAAGTTTTTGATACGCTTTGCATCCACAACATTACCATGAGCATTATACCTAGAGGTTGTACTAGGCTAGTACAACCTTTAGATGTTTCAATTAACCATCCATTTAACGATATTTTAAAGGTAATTTCTATGGAAAGATTAGAACTTACTAGTAAGAAAGATCTACTAACATGCTTAAACTATAGGAGAAATTAGACAATCAGCTGGATGCGATTGATAATGAGAAGGAGATTTTAAAGGGTGGAGGAAAACTTACAGGAAGCATGGTAGGAAGGTGGCGAGTTGCAGCCACCTGGGTAGTTGGAAAAGCCTGAGAAGGGTTTTTCCATGTAAAGCAAGAAGTTGTCCAGCATTCATTTCAGTGTGTTGAACCAACACTCCCAATTGACAGAAGTGCTGACCACAAGATCTCTATCAAGGAGATAGAGACAAGTTTCCCATCACAAGGGTTAGTAAATTGTCATGATAGGGAAGGTCCTACCTTGGAAGAGGATATAAATGGGTTGGAGAGAGAGGATAAGAATGAAGTGGTATTGAATGAAAACCCCTTACTAGGGATTGAAGAAGTTGAAGAAGTTGAAGATAGCAATGAAAATGTTTTTTTTTTTTGAGTAAATGCCAAGGATCCTCTTAAAAATAATATTGCGTGATTGGTGATGAATGGGCTTGGCATGTTTCCTCTTAATCTGACAACATACCACACTACTCAATTATTACAGTTTTTATGGTAGGGTTACTTTTTTTCACAAAGGACAAGTGACGGACTATGACAGTACTTGGAGAGCTAGCTATTTCAATAAGGTAAAGTACCAGTGGGAGCTCACCACTATGATATCGTACAGCATTGTGACTGTGGGGTCGAGTTGTTATAACAGGATCTAATCTATTACAGGACAGCGCTATGCTTTGAAAATTACCATTATCCAGGATCTATGTCGGCACATGGTAGTTAGCAGTGTTCAATAATGGATGACAGAAGGTGAGGTATAGTACTCTTATGATATATGCAACGAGAGTCCCAGGTTTTCAAGGGCATACTAATTTGGTACTTCTCAAACAATGAACTTGTACGGCCTCCTACTTGTACAAGTATACTGTTCCCCACTCAAGCTCTTCCCAGGCTTCTCTTCTGCTATTTTCCTGATCCCCCTTTTCACCTTCCTGTTTGGGAAGGTGGTGGCGGTAGTCAACACCATGCTCTACCACCTCACGATCCTCTCTCCTGTGCTGAACTTTAGAAGCTTCATAAGCCTGGACACCAAACCTCATCGTGAGGTCAAACGAAATTTTCACCCCTTCTGGCATTGGACTTTGGGTCCCTCTGCCAGATTGTGGTTCCTATCCTCCCCCTCTTTCCATGGTGGCCACCTCAGCTAAGCTGTGTGAGGTTGTGACTACTCCTCTGCCCCTCTGGGTTCTTTTACTCGGTTGGGTTTACTACTTTACCAATGTCTGTGTTGCTCGGCAACATGTGGTTAGTATTGCACTGCCTCTGGTCATGCCCCTATCTGACCAGACATAAGCGATCACTCCACTGGGGGCCTGCATGTCCAAGTCGGTTGCCTTCATTACACAAAGCGAATGCATCATGGTTCTCCCCTATGTTTCTAGCAGCTAGTTAAGGCTGGACCAGCTGAAAAATGGGGAATGTGGTTTATCAAGGTGGTTTTCTTTGTTGGGTTTCTTTTGTGTTTCCTTTCTCAAGAGAATACAGTGTGGGTTTTCTTGTTGGCTCCTGCTGGTCCTGTTTTGTGCTTTTTTTGTTTTGTGCAGAAGGAGCTTTCATGGGGACGGATGTGTGATTGGTCCCATACCAGAGGAACTTGGGCTGGCTTGTTTTCCCCTAGGCCTGCGGAGGAGGTTTTTGACCAGCATGTCTAAGGACTAAATCGGGGGTGTGGGGCGGTTATTGCAGAGGTGCCCTTATATCTAGGATCCATGCTTTAGCCGGACTGTGCTCTTATAGTGGAGGTTTGCACCTTTAAGCAAATAGATTCTACGATTTAACAAAAAAAAAAAACACCCAAGCTCTTCCCCCAGCCACGCATAACCAATGGGACTACGGTAAGGGTACCAGTGTCACCGTGGGGTTGCCCCTCCGCAAACCCTGGGGTTTTGAGAGTTTCTCAAAAAAAAAAAATTTTTAACAATAATGATCGGATCTATTAGGCTTGAATCTTCTCTTGGGAGGTGATACGGGGTGTCTTGTGACCGGTTTTACCGGTACTGGTATACAAGAGCCGAACGAGGAGACGGAAGAAACATAAGGATGGTATACTTGTACGCGATGTGGGGGAGAGGCTGACAAAACGGAGAGAGTGATGCAGGTACAGCACGGGGCGTGGGATGTCCCCCTTGCGCTGGATTCGTTCCACGGTTTCGGGTCCGGCGTGAGGCTCTGCAGTGGCTTTGTTGCATGAGAGGTTCTTTGGAGGAGCAAGAGGGGGGTGTATGTAGTACTGAGGGTTGTAGACCTGTAAATATTTACATGTCACATGTCTACCAGTATGTACGATACCCGGTTCGGTATCATCTTGATTGTATGATACCGGTAGCGCTATAGTAACTTTGTGGCCTTTTTTAGAGTGTCATGCCTCTCATCGGCATGTTTTCACTACCGGTACATCACGGTATCATCATCATTGAGCAATTGTCACGGTACCAGTATCGGCGTTGCGGCAGGCAATCTTGTGGGAAATCCACCGGCGATTCGTCTTTGCCCCGGAACGATGTAGTTGCCGAGATCTTAGTATTATAGATTGGCGGTCAAAGATCTGATGCCAGATTCTGAGCTCTCAGTGGGAGCCCGTTATGATACTGTTGTACGGTAATCATAATATGATACCATGCTGCACAAGTCAAACCACGAGGCTCTGGAATCCTGGGCTGACACGCCCCGAACGCCCCACCAAAGTCAGCCCATTTGCCCTTTCACCCCACACTTTTAGCAAGCGAATGAGCCCTCCCAAATAACCAAAGCCCCTTCCCCTACCTCCCTCCACCGTGCCCTCTCTCACCCCTAGTCCCTCCACAGACCCCCCCACCTTTACTTCTTTTTTCCACTTTTGCGGAGGCTATCAAGAATCCATCAATGCTATCGACTCTATTTCCGATATCCGCCAAGTATCATGTCTGAGCCCGGTTCTTCACTTCCTCCTCGACCTCCGAGCCCTGTGCGGCCCTCGTCGTACCTCCGCCCACAGAGGCCACGGCCTCCACCAGAGCCTGTAGATGTCGTTGATAGAGAGCAAGCCGAGGGACTGGTTCGTATCGCTCTCTATTTAGGGTTTGTATATCATTGGGCACTGATTGAGATGAATGATCACAGCGCGCTATTCGAGAATTCTTGAGGGTCCGAACTACCTATGACGTATTGCCGGTTAGCTTCCGTCTCGTGATACTGGATACAAGCCTTCTGGTACAGAAGAGTCTCAATATCCTCATCCTTAATGGTAGGAGCGAGGGAATTTATCGCGGTTTCTGGAATTTGTGGGATGTTAGTATGTGAGGCTAAATTAATTATTTCATAGGAATCGTCTCCGCCCCGCTGTGGAACTCTCAGACGTCAACTTTTGCTGGATTGCTCACATCCTCTGACTATATCAATGTCATCCAGTACTACTGGCAATATCCCGAGAAGTTTGAGGAAATCGAAGGGTTTCGCCTGGATAGTTTGCGAGGTTTGTCCTTATCATGTGACCCCGCCTCGGTATCCAGTGTTAACCTGACAAACCGTTTGGACAGAAGTTGAAAGGGCTATCGGTGTTACACCTATAGAAACTGTTTCTGTGCATCCTATGATACAGTTGTATGATGCCTGCCGTCAAATGCTCCGAAGCCGCGCCCGTCGCATCCCGCTCATTGATGTGGATGAGGAAACCCAACAGGAGATGGTAGTCAGCGTCCTGACCCAGTTTCGAATTCTAAAATTCGTTGCCGTCAATGTACGCGAAACACAGATGTTGCGAAAGCCGCTATCTGACCTGAACATCGGGACATACGAGGATATTTCTACAGCAACCATGCAAACTCCGGTCATCAATGTCATTCATCAATTAGTAGGGAAAGACATCTCTAGTGTGCCTATTGTTGACCCAAACGGTACGTTCATCTTGCATTTTTGCTTGTTCGCTAATGGTTCACTAATTTGTCAATATTTATAGGGGTTCTGCTTAACATTTACGAGTCTGTCGATGTCTTAACTCTTATTAAAGGGGGGAGCTACGATGACCTTAATCTTAGTGTGGGGGAGGCTCTTCTGAAGAGACCTGATGTAAGCGGAGCCCTACATTCTTTAACATATCGGCGATTGCTGAATCTTATAATTTATTTGGTCTCGTAGGATTTCTCTGGAATTCATACATGCTCCCCTCAGGATCGCTTGGACACGATATTTGATACTATCAGAAGGTCAAGAGTTCATCGATTCATGATTGTTGATTCGGGCGGTCGTCTCAAGGGTGTGCTTACTTTAAGTGATATCTTACAGTACTTGCTGTTCGATGGGGAAGAGGAGTAATGGGGTGTTGGATATTTTCTTGGCTATTTGGCCAAATTCATAGATGTTTGCCTAGATTGGGAATTGCGCCCGCAATCCCCACACCCACACTCTTTTTACCCATTGCTGGAAGCGAGCCTATTTCTTGATTCTTTGTTGGTTCTCCCCTGGCTCTGCATGGGTTTCCTTTCCTTTCCTTTCCTCTCTAGGCGGAGGCGTTCAGGATATCGTGGATGAGCATGTATTTCCTTTCCCCTAGTTACTATTTCCATCTGCTTTACTCATCTCCTGTTAAATACTACTTGCTATTTCGGTTCATGATGTTCCGTCTGCGAGTCATATCGGCTACCTAATGTGGCCAAGGGGTAGGCGTGTATGGGCGTGGCGAGCTAGGCTGGTGGAAGGTGGATGGGGACGTTGAGCAGGCGCTTGACGTTTAGGTATCGTCGGGTGTGTCAGGTGCTGGATCGTGGATGTTCTCAGCTCTTCTATGTTGTAATGGAATTGAATTCTAATGATCTGATTATTTCAAGTGGACTTGTCTTCATTAACGCCTGTATTTTAAACTTCATTCACACCTTTTATTCTAACCAGCATTGTCTTGCATATAATCTGGTGATGATGTCCGGGTTTTGTCACTTCCTCCAAATACCTCTTACAAAGCTGCGAGGTAACTCCTCCGATTATTTAAGCCCTAGTCTCGCCCCAAATCCCTCTCCATCGCCGGAAACTTTTATTGTCCACGCCTTCATGGGCACCTTGAATACCATACTTGGGCATACCAGACACATCTATATCTGGCAAGTCACCAGAGCAAAACAAAAACCTCTATCAAACACATACCCCCACCAAACCTAACTAGCTCAGTCGACGGTTCAACAACAGACTCCACCAAAGCTGTGATGGACTACACTCCACCAACTTCCCCTTCAATCCGTCACAAAAAGCTCTTGACAAGACTCCGTCTCAGATATCCACCACTCGCACGGATAGCCAGTCGTCCTAGACTTCCTGAACCTGAAATCCCACACGATCCACTGGCAGTTCTAAACCATAGCTTCTTCCCTCGCCCGACGAGAAGCCTCATCTCAAAGCAGTACCTTCGGGCGGTGTTCAGGCTTGAGAGGCCTTTAATATACGAGTCTACTCTGGGCAGTACAGAAAAAGCAGTGGGTCTTTCCAAAGATATTCTAGTGAGGGTTAAGACAAAGGTGTTTCCAATGTTTGTTGGCGCAAAGTGGAGAGCTGGGGTAGGTGCTTCCTTGTTTGCTTTTCTTCTTCTAAGTATTCACTAGACGAAAGAATGTGCGAGCAGTTCGGGTATCCGCTTTTAAGAGACTTCTGCCTCGCTGGTGGGTACTTGAGGGAGTTGGTAACGGAGGTTGTGGATGTCTTGGAGGGGGGGCATGGGATGGATCTTGAGGGGTCTAGAATTGTTTTCGGTGAGCTTGGGGAGGTGAGCTTCGTAAAATCTCTGGAGCGACGGAATGGATATTTGCTTATAGGTGGAGCTAGGTTGATCTGGATAAATTCAATCTTGACGACTTGGTTCTTCGACACTTTTCTAGGACAGAAGAGGCGTTTGTTATGCGATTTATTAGGAGAAGGGAGGCGAAAGAAGCTGTTAGGGCGTAGTCGGACGGGCAAATTCTTGGGATGACTTGCCATCGAGGAATGGTAAAACTTTGCCACCAATTGTCGGCATCTGATGTTAGCATATTTTTTTGCTGCTGGGTAGTAAAGCGAGTGACACTATGTGATTTTGTGATTTTGTGATTTTGTGATTTTGTGGCTTAGTGGGTTCGATTGGAACCCAAAGCTTACGTAATTGGAGGGTTACGGTTCGCTCACGAGACCCAAGTTTCCATCCTTTTACCGCGCCCTGAACCTAAGTTACCATAACTCGTTTCTCTCTTTGTCTCTGAAGCTTAGAGTCACTTCTTTCCCTCTTCTCCACCCTAACTATCGACGTCTTACGCCCACCAGTATTTAATACCAGTATTCACACCGGCCCCCTTGTCCCTCCCCCTCGTTCACTCTTGCTTCTCTCGGCATTCTCTCGTTTATCCTGTCCCTTCCTATATCCTGCGGGCCATCACTCACAGCCTCCCCCGCGGCAAATTTCTCGCCTTTCAAAAGCTATCGCATCATGGACGCGAAGGAAGTCAAGACACATGTCACTAACATTGAGAAAGCCGTTAAAGAGAAGCTTCCCCCAGCGGTTTTAATTGACATTCTGAATTCGCTGAGGACCGGAGTTACCGCTACTGAGCAGCTATTGAGGGTTCGTCATCCTTCTTCTCACACATCAATATAGTACCTTCTCAATTCGTCCCAATACCTTCTACTACTCTGCGAAAGCTCTAGCTCCACTTCTGGATTTTCGGAAACTAATATGTGCTATTCCAATGATAGGACACTTGGATGGCGATTTATCCACTGAACCCGTAGAGGTGGTCCGAGACGGAA